ACAGAGGCCACTCGACGACGCGACGCCCTTGATTCAAATCACGCTCAGAGGCAATACTTATTCTCGGTTTGTAAAATTTCCAGCCGTCGGCACGGCCTGTTCCCCCGGATCGTTATTCAAGTTTCGAGGAACAGCTGTGCTACTCAAAGGGGGCCCCACGCCTCTTTTCTTACGGGGTTATGTGCCACGTACCCGGGCCGAACTGGCCTCTGGGAGAGTCGAGAGCCTCCAAGGCCTGGCCTGTGAATTTTGCCTTGCTTTTTAAAGAATCCTGCACACACGTTCTCGTTTTAACCCGTGCTCCTTTTCCTTCGCGATCGCAGGGAATACCCTCTGACGAACGCCGCTAGACAACACTGAGAAAACCACTGTTTCTGTTCTGGGTACTTTTTTTTTTTCTAAAAAGGATTGGTAATGAAGATAATTAAGAAACTTCTACGCTAATGAATTTATATAAGAAGAGTTTCGTCGAAATTATCGAATAAAAGTGCAACGTGATTATGATCGTAATAACTTCCTGCAGATAATAATGGAAGCAGTTTTTTTTTTGTTTTTTCTTAAAGTCTAGATTTCAGAATTAAATTAATCCTTTATAAAATACTATGCGATTTGCATGTTTACGTATGCATTTGTGTATCTACATTTCATGGTGCCGTTTCATTTGTTTATCTCTATACTATTGAACTGTATTGTTACATTGAAATTGTTATTTAAAAAATTTGCAATTGTTACATTACTAATTGTGGTCAATCGTAATTTTTCTTCTCGTGAACGAAGAAAAATTAGGTTTGCGGAGGGTTAAGTGTAAAGAAGATATCGACGATACGCGTGAAATATTACACATTCGTGAATTAATTCGAAGAGAAACAAAAGTTCGAAGAAATTCGGTACTTTCTCTGTACACCGACACTCTAGGGAATTCATTTTTCACAGTTTAGTGACTTTTCTTCGAGCGACACCTTTCCAGCCCGCTCTCTTCTAAATATAACTTAATACTCGTGAAATCCATAGGAGCTGTCATTAGTACACACCAACCTATTTCACAAACGCATCGAGGTTTCTTGTTTTCTGTGCTCAATCACGTTTTCTAATACTTTCGACGAATTCCATTACCACGTGGCGCTAGAGTTAGCGATTCTCTGATCACCGGAAGCTTCCACGAGCAAAACCGTTCACTCTCCTTCGTACCAGCAATTACAAAGTCAAAAATACAAAAAGAAATTCGACATTTACTGCCGACTTTTATAAACACCATCCCAACCTAACCTAATACTATTGATACTTTCAAAACGACTAACCTAACCTAATATTCCTGATATTTTCAAAATCAATAACCTAACCTAATACTTCTGATACTTTCAAAACGAATAACCTAACCTAGGTACTGCTGATATTTTCAAAACGACTAACCTAACCTAAAATTACCGACGTTTCCAAACACGAAACTGCTCGAGCGTAGAAATCGTCCTGGAATCAGTACCAGTTTAAGAATAAAAAAATTACTCAACGACACGGCCAACCGTGCCACATCAATTTCAATTCTTTATCCAACCAGATAAATACACTTTTCTAACCATTGTGCTCGTTCGCACGCAGAGACGATCATGACGGAGTCTTGACATTCAAGGTCGGTATCGTCGTTAACACACGACTCCCTGGCCTGAATTATTTGATGGCCGCAAAACTGCACTACGAGCCCTCCTCTCCCCCCTCCGCCCCACTCCGCACCGCCGCGGTTCAGTCCGTGGCGTTCGCCGTTTTCCCTGTTCGACTCTGTTATCCTCGACCATAGGTGCGCGACACTCGGCCGCAGTATTATGCAACTGCACCCGCGTCACGGAGACACGAACGCGTTTCGACGCGGCTACGTGCAGCACCTTCTCTCCCCGGTTTCGTGCACACCTTTCGCTATTGACTCGAAAGGCACCGAGAACCAACCGACCAATTTCAACGGCTGTTAACGTTAACTCGCGGACCAGAACCCTCCGTGAGCTTTTGTTCAAATATCGCGTTTCACGGGTCGAACTTTCATTCCAACGCGAATCTTCCAGCCGCTTTTACCCTCGTTTCTTCCATTTTCTTTGTTTTTTTGTTTCTTTTTTGATACCGCTATAAATAATCACGCTACGAAAATGTGACGCGTTGCAAGCATAGCGTTACCGGTTTAAATTCGTACCCATTGATCTTTCGTTGTTATATCTGAACTTTCTCCAAACGCTTTTTTTTTTTTCTATTTTTTGGAAGGTGTCCTTGTAACTGTGGTACAAATTATGCGTTCGCCGAGTATTTATACGAATGAACGGAGATATGATTTTTTTGGAGGGGAAGAGAAATCTATCGAGGATTATATTTTTATTTGAAAAAAAATTGACGATAATCGAAGAAATCGAATGTTTCGTAACGTTGAATATTTTCTTGGGTAGGATAGTTTTTGCGTTGTATCCAAGTGTATCTATAAACTCGTACAATGATACACCTCGATTATCGGAACACTTCAACGAAATTGGAATTGAGTATAGTATTCGCGGTATATCTAATCAGACCTTTATCTTCCTTCTGACAATAAATATCTTACGATTCATACACACGAACGAATGCTGTTTTTATTATTTTTTTTTTTTCGTATTTATATCTTTGTCAAATAAAAGATGATTCTAACAGAAAGTGATTTTTCTTACTGGAACATATATCTCGTCCCTCAAATTGTATCCCAAGAAAAAAATTTCCCTTCCGAACGCACACGTTGAAAATTCGCACAGAATTGTATTAGATTAATTATGGATACCGTATGATTGAAAATCGAGACGGATCACTAGAAGGCGCGGGCAGCGCGCAAACGCCACGGTCAAATTACAACGTTGAACGACGCAAAAGCAAATATTTATGCGCATGAAAGGACACGGCCGCACGCAGGAGTTTCTGACGGGCTGCGAACATAATGTAACCGTTTCCTGATGTGGAACAAATAAACGCTTTGTTGCATTCCGATCGCAATTTCGCGGATTCCTCGTGTACGCCGCTGTTTATCAGTGTTCGGACGGTTTCCGCTTACCGAGCGAAACCTTGGTTCAATTATAAACTCTTCCAAGTAATCGTTTCTTTTTAAACGATCATTTTGTTACGTAGGGTTGAAACGTGAAAGGAGAGAGAAAAAACCGATATACGCATGATATATTTACATGTATAATTGTGTCGATAGATGATATTTGTATTAATTTATATTAATATTTAATTTTTCTTTTCTTTTCTTGAAAAGTTCATTTGCAAGAAATAGTGTATTTTGATATAATAAAGTACATATATTGACTTATATTGTACGCGAGAATATGATTTGACTCGTAGGTATGTATAACTGAAAAACGTCCAAGTCTCTACCTAACACGCTAAACGATACGGAAATTGCGAAGAACGCGCTGCAAGCGCCTCGATTCCTCGATAAATCGTCGAACTGACAAACAGTGCAGGAGTAACATATGGAAAGGGAAGTTTGGCGTTCGAGCTTGACAACTTGCAAGATTCATCGTGAAATCCGCGTGAAGAGAACAAAGTGGCAAAGATACTTTCGAAACTGTCCTAATAAAGTGAACAGAAATCGAACGACACACGTGACTGACGAAAGAGAGAAACAAAGAAAAAAAAAAGGTAAAAAAGAAACTGTCGACATTCGACGATCTATGCAGCAACCACTCGCGCAGACATTTTTCGCGTATTCTCTCTTTTTCGATTCGATTCTTCCCTAACACGTGTAAACGCGTGTTAAACGACACGTGCGTGCGGAAGCGTTGCATGCACTGCGCCAGCAGCTTTAACATCGATACATATTTTGACGAAAGGCACACGCCCCTTCGACGACTTCACTTTCGAATCTCGTCCAAGAGGTTAGGATACATCAGATGGTGCAAGAAGTGTCTAGATAGCGGCAATTTTTCTTGAAAATACAACAGGACGCTTGTGTTTCTTTTTTTCTGTACCTATGTTTCAACGTAAAACGAATTTTGTATGAAACACAAGGTGAAACGTGGGACGGAAAGAAGGAAACGATGAAATACAGATGGTGGGCAAACATAACCTCTACGAAAGCATGAAGTAACTTAGCTATCTGTTAGCGAAACGAGAGATGTTTCGAAATATCGGCCATGATAATGTCAGAATGATAAAGCGAATCATAGAAAAACCAGACTAAAGAAATCATGCTTTACAAATGCTAAAGGCAAACAACTGGCAAAGATGATTCATACATTTTCACATTTTGCGAACGTGAAAAGTTAACGCGAGCATTTTAACAAATTCTACTACACATAGGGATATAGCGTGAAAACTAGTGACGAA